ATGGTTAATGTTAAAAATTAGAGTTTCTAAATAGTTTATGAAATTATGAATGTTTAGCGGAATAGGCGAGAGATTCGAATTAGTTTGAAATCGCGTGAGGTGACGGTGGGATCCACCCTTAAGTGGACTTAGCCACTTGTCCCATTCACTATTCATCATCACTTCTAATCCCTTCTCTCTCTCCAAAAGCTGTGAACTTCACAAAGAAAGAGGGGAGGAAAACTTGGTTGATTCTTGATGATTTTGCCACTGAATCCAACAAAATTTGTCACCAAACTTCAAGTAAACGACTATCCGGACACAACCATACCATTCACAACCTTTGAAACTCACTAAATTGGGAGGAATTCACCATATTAAGCCACAAAAATTTGAGAAGATTTGGTGGTCTTGAGTTGTTTGATCAAGCCATTGCTTGGATATCACTTGGAGGAGTCTTAGGCCTTGATTGTGGGTAAGTTTCCACACTTTTTATTGGTTGAATTGATGGATCCAAATTCATGAAACCTAGAGCTATTTTGCATGAATTGATGTAATTAGAGAGCTCAAATTGAAATTGTATATTAGATGAAAGTGACTTAGAATGATGTTTTGGAGTGATTGATGTCATAAAAGTTATTGGAGAATTTGGATGGTAACTTAGGAAAATTTTGTGTTGAAATGTCATGACTTTGTGGAAGTGATATGTTGCAGGATTGTGTAATTGAGTTGTGGAGTATTTGTATGAGTTAATTATAAGATTGTATGATGTGTGGAAGTGTGAAATTGAATTGAATACTCTTTGGTTGGGGAGCATGATGATTTCGGCCATTGTAGGGCATATAGGTGTTGATGTTGTAAAAATTGTATGATTGATGGTGTGTGGTTGTGTATGGTATTTAAATGAGTGTTAAGTTGGTTGGATGCAAGAGATTTGAGGTTGGAACCATTGGATATGCATAAGTGTAGAAATTGGCCTAGAAGGGAATAATTGGAAAAATGGTGTTGTGATGGAGTTGGATGGAAAATGGGACTTGAAATGGTGTTGTGGTAGCCTTAGAATGCTAATGGTAAATTAAATAAAATTACGAAAATCATTTTGTAAATTTAGCCTAAAGAGGTCGAACCTATGTTGTGGGGAGGGTTAATTTTGGTGCGTTGTAATCTTGTTGATTGCTCCTTGTATTGATGATCCTTGTGTGATCATTGTAGGTTACCTCCCATGGAAGTGAACTCGGAGCTTTGAGCTTAGTGGGTTGCCTTTGGTCCCTGACCAAAGGAATTTTGGTAAGTCGTCTTGAATCTATGCATGATTAATTAATAAGCTTGAATATATCTTGATTGGTTGTAATTGAGATGGAAATGACCTATAAGTAGGCATTTCTTGTGAACCGAGCTCGGTGACACTGTGATTTGGAGATATCAAGCGAAGGAGATTATTCAGGTAATCCCTTGGTACTGGGGTTTGATCCCCGTGTGTGCTCCACCATGCCCGTTGAGGGTAATGGTTGGAGGTGTATGTTGGTAATGTAGTATAACATGCTCGTGCATTATTGTACGTTAGTGGTACATAGGATGTATCGAGTCTCTGGCCAGTAGACAGTTTGCCTTCGAGCGTTATGAACTTCCACTGGATAGGTCTCCATGAGGGAGTTCCAATTGACCGGGGTCGTGGTGCGTCATCCGTAGAGGAGCACACTAGGAAGTCTCCGGTGGATATGGATGGAGGGTGCCTTGGTTGATGTTCTGGAACACTGTTGGGCGGTTTGCTGATGGTGGAAAAATATAAGTTCTGATAGGGGACGTTCCTCTGTTCTTGCAGAACACATATTCGTCCCTTAGTTCCAACCCAAGTGCGCAAGTGCGCGCATCAAGTAATAAAGGGAGTATTAATGCCCGAATTATCGTTCCCACGAGGATAAAGTGCTAATTATTGTTTTATCACTGTTTAAAAAGAATGAAAATGAGAAGAAAAGTTATTAAATGAACTGTCTGGTCAAACGTTCCCTACTGACTTGACAACGTTCATCAGGAACAGTAGGTTCAATCTGATGGCAAACAGTTGCTCGCTGCGTTATGTGATCCTTCCTATTTAGAAGAAGGTGAGATAATAATCATTAGAGTTTGTATAAGTACTAAATAAAATAAAATAAAAACTACTAAAACAGAAATAACTATAATCAAGAGACAATAGGGTGGTGGTTAAAACAGTTTAACAGAAGGAACAGATTCACTGCTTCACTCTTAAAGGGGTTGTTTTCTCTGCTCAAGACTTAGCACCTTTTGGCTTTGTCCCAGTTTCTTTGCCTCCCAACTCTGATTCCTCAGCTCATGGTCTAGATGGCTCACAAGTTTCCATATTCCTATGCTCCCTTGATTCCAACAGGTACTTAGTTCAGAACCTTAAAATGGACGAGTTGGCCCCTTATTCCTAAGGTGACCAGTAGCGTTTTTGCCATGACATCTACCTTCCCCCAATGGCTAAGCTGTCTGAAATCCCTTCCTTATGGAAGTTCCTTTCTCAGTATGTACCCAATTTCCATTGGCGCACAATGAATATAGCTTACTTAGCCAAAGAAATACAAAAAGCTTTGGTCAAGAGTTTTGAAAATAGTTCTTTAAGAGTTTCACAGTTTACCCGTTCCACAGATAGTTCAGCTCATGGCTGATAGTTTAAACATAATTATTCTCAACTGAGATCACATAGACCCGAGATTCAGTCAAGAGATAACGATTGGAACGAAGAGAAAAACATTTATATTAATTTAAAAGACAATTTACAAAAAGAAACAGAAAATGGAGAAAGATGGGTATTTGCTCGTGAGGAGTCTTAATGGTTGTTTACAGAGAAGAGAAGAGGGGTTGTCACTTAGCCACAGTTACAACTTAAAATTAAACTAAGTTACTAACTACTACTAAGTGATCTCTTCCTATCGGACTGCAAACCCTCCAGGATTTGATGATGTTTTTGTGTGAGGGTGGTCCTATTTATAGCTGGAAAAGGAGTGGCAAGACTGTAATTCCTTTGGAGCTAGTTGCTTGAATGAGGGGACAGGAGTGTGGCAGCAGAGTGTGAAGCTTACGTGAATTGCTGGATGGAACAGGGTTTGGTGATGATTAGCCGTTGTTTGCAGACCTTCCCATGCTTTGCTTTTGTTTTCAGCCAATGAGAACTCTTGATTCTCTGCTCTTCATGTTTCCGGCTGCTCAGTTGGTGCACCGCCTTTCTTTTTAGAAGTCTTTAACTCTACGTTACCTGCAAAGTGTTCAGAAGCATTAAATGAATAGAGCAGGTGCATTAAATGCATCTCAGTCCGTTCCCCTTTTAATATATTTTAAAGGAATACGTTACCATCCGTTCCCCCACTGTGTTTTTGTCACAAATGTGTAAAACAATTGATTTTCATGCTGAAGTTGCTCATGAGATGAGGGAACGTATGGTATTTTGCCATCAAAATGGGCTTAGATGGAAACGAATTTACGTCCCATCAAACACCCCAAAACTAAATTGTTGGTTGTCCTCAAACAACTCAGAAATATTGTATTGGTCTTCCCAATTTAAAAGAATAGCATAACATAAAGGAACTTGAGCAAGTGAGCAACCATGAACTTTTCAAAAAATGAACTACTCTCCATAGTAAACAGTAAAAGGATTCTATACCCAGATAAGAGAAGTTTGCTGATCTTTTGTCTCACTGTCACTCATGGGTTGGTGTTCGCTCTGTCCATTCCTGGATGTGATTCTTCAGAACTTGCCTTTCTGCTGTGTTCCTATGAAGTACAGCTGTCTTCCGTTCCAAGGGTTCTTTGATGGGTAAGTGTATGGAAATGTGGAAGAAGTGGTGGTCTAATTTGTGGGATCAAGGAACGTTTAGCTTTTGTGCCTTTGAACTTGGACTTTTTCTGTTTTGAGGGAACACCTTTTCTTGAACCTTTTTCCCCCTTTAGAGGAAGGTTTTCTGGTTTTTCTTGAATTCTTTTGAATGGTTGTTCCCCTTTTTCTTTATTTTTCTTCTGTCCTTTTTTGTTCATTGTTGAGTATGTTCCTTGTTCTTTCTGATTGACCAGATGGTGTATGATGGAGGTGAGGTGAGTGTGTGATTCTGTTTTGATCCTTGACAGCAGAATTCCTCTATCTTCAGCAGTACTTACAGCATTAAGGCAAGCTGAAAAGTTTCATTGTGGTTACACCTCAGGAACGCTCTCAGAAGTAGGTGTTTGGCATTTTTCCGTTCCTTACAAGTTTGAGTTCACACAGATCAACTTCTTTCAAAAATATGAGGATTAAATTCCCTGCACTGTTTCTATTTTCAAGTACTCAGAGAAAGAACAAGCATGATTAGTCAGTGACTTTGTGTTTCATGTATGTTAGTTAATCTAAAAGAATTGTGCAGTCTTAATACTATAACTGAAATGCATGCATATACCAAACAGTTTGATCAAAAAGTCTTTTTCATTGCAAAAAAGATTAATTACAAGGGAACGAAAAGAAACTAAATTAAAAACAGAATTGAAAACAAACTAAGCTAAGATATTATATATATATATATATATATATATATATATATATATATATATATATATATATTTTTTTTATTTATTTTTTTGGGATTGTGTGGTCAGGGACCAACCCAAAACTACGTTCCTGGAACGGAACGTACTTTATTTGGACTTTTTGGAGAGGAACATCAGATGTTCCCTCCTTTTTGGGAGCTATGTGGTTATGGATAACCACCCCAAAACTTTGCTCTTTGTCAGAGAGCAAAATGTATCTACTGGGTTGCCTCCTAGTCAGCGCTTAGTTTAATGTCTTTAGCTAGACATGGTACTTACCTCTCAAGGGGTTTCAGAAAGAGGGATACTTTCCTCTTTTTCATCAAAGGTTTCATCATTGTATAGTTTCAACCTGTGCCCATTTACCTTGAAGGAACGGCCATATTCTGAACCTTGGATTTCAAAATTTTCGTTTCCTGCATCGTTAACAATTTGATATGGCCCGATCCATCTTGATTTGAGTTTACCTGGGAACAGTCTGAGTCTAGAGTTGAAGAGTAGCACCTTCTGACCGATTTTGAGATCTTTGTTCTGATCCTTTTATCGTGCCACTTCTTCATCTTCTCCTTGTACAATTTATGATTTCCATATGTGTTCCCTCTGAACTCCTCTAATTCTTCGAGTTGCAGCAATCTCTTCTCTTCAGCTGTTTTTTCATCCATGTTGAGGGTTTGGACTGCCCAGTAAGCCTTGTGCTCCAGTTCGAGGGGGAGGTGGCAAGCTTTGCCAAATATCAATCTGTATGGGGAACACCCTAAGGGTGTTCTATATGCTGTTCTGTAAGCCCATAATGCCTCGTCTAACTTGAGAGACCAGTCTTTTCGAGAAGGATTAACTACCTTCTCTAAAATTCTCTTAACCTCTCGGTTAGAGACTTCAATGAGACCACTGGTTTGTGGATGATATGGGGTTGCAACTTTGTGTTTGACTCCATATTTCTCCAACAACCTCTCAAGTTGGCGGTTGATGAAATGTTTCCCTTCATCGCTGATGAGACAACGTGGGGTTCCATATCTGGTTAATATGTTCCTCTTTAAAAATTTTATAACCACCTTAGCATCATTAGTGGGTAAAGAAACTGCTTCTACCCTCTTGCTTACATAATCTACAGCCATTAATATGAATTTGTTCCCACACGAAGAAGGGAAAGGTCCCATGAAATCAATGCCCGAAACATCAAATAATTCAACTTCTAGGATCGGATTGAGGGGCATTTCATTTTGTTTAGTCAAGTTACCTTCTCTGTGACATTTATCACAATTTTTTTCATATTGAAGTGCATCTTTAAAAGGGAAGGCCAGAAGAAACCTGATTGAAGAACCTTGGAGGCAGTCCTGATTCCACCTAGATGTCCTCCATATGGGGACGAATGGCAGTGTTGAAGGATTTGAGGTTGTTCTTCTTCTGGGACGCACCTTCTTATCATTTGGTCTGCGCATCTTCTGAACAGTAGTGGTTCGTCTCAGAGGTAGTTCCTGCAATCGTGAAAAAATTTCTTCTTCTGCATTTTATTCACCTCATAAGGTTCCAGCCCTGCTGCAAGAAAGTTGGCTATATCATCAAACCAATGAGCATTTGTCTCTATGTGATTAATGACAAGCAATTGTTCGTCAGGGAACGTTTCCTTGATTGGTAGCCCCACTTCAATGTGTTCC